AGATCAGGTGTATTCAGCTTTTACACCAACATTTTAAAATATAATTCCATTATCATTTAGTTGCCCTGTAAAAATCGTGTGCATGTATGGAAACAGCCAGCAGCTTTAAGCGCTGCCATTAGGAATCATTGGGCTCTGCCTAAAAGAGGGAGTAGGCCACATCTAAAGCCTTGCCTACAGTGAATGTGGAGGTCAGAACCCTGACAAAACTCTACAGCATCTCATATTTTCTTTTAACCAAACCAAAGTTAATATATTGGAGGGTATTGCACCCTGTTTTGCATAGTGCCTCAGCACAGATTCGTTAGCCGTAACGGCTGCTCATTGCATCTGGTGCAGCCGGGCAAACATAAGGCCTAGCTTGAGGTGCTAATGGTTGCTACAGATCTTTAAGATGTGACAAATGTTTTATGGGAGGCTGTGATGCCATTAGTTTATTCTATTAATTGGATACACTTGCCATACATGTATGCACCTCACCGTTTTGACATCACTTAATAACTTTAGGTAATTATTTTAGATGCAAATAGTACATTCTATAGAAGGCTATTAACAGAGCAGGAGATAAGAAATTCTAGATTAAACAGATTGTGTAATAAAGGAACCTATCACAGGAAGTGTTTAGGAAGGCTTCGCAAGTCACATGCATATATACCTATTTAAAATAGTGACCTATTTTTAAAAATAAAATGCTGTAAATCCTAAAAATAAAAGTGATAATCTCACTGAGTGTGAGAGTGAAAAACAGTGGAGGGTTTAGCAAAAGCCTCAGGTACTCAAAGGGTTAAAATCAATGCCTCCTTTATAGTGTATATTCTCTGTTCTAATCTATGCAATATAAATATATGTTTGATACACATAGAGTGCATATTCATTGTTTGTCATGGGTGAATACAAATAAAAAGATAATATATATTTCAATAATTACTCTATATTACTAATGGATTAGTGACCTCTAAAACACTACTAAAGAACATATTATTAATTATGCTAAAATACAACATAGGAGGGATAAAAAAAGGGTCTCCATATAATAAAAGCAAGTGGTGATGTACCTGTTTAAATAGTCTAACACTCAAAAGCTTTCTAGTGAGGCACAGATTTATTTTTCCATTGGATCATGTCAATCTTAGAATAAAAACAAAATCCTAATATAAAAAAGGGTGACAAGTACTACTGATGAGAAATGGGCAGTAACACAAAAAACGAGCAAGCATGAACAACAAACCTTATATATCAATGTGTGTGCGCTCCAATAATTATCAAACACAAAAAGCAAAAGCCGTGATCGGTAACTTCACAAAAAACAGCAGCTTTACGATAGCTGGAACGCTGTTTACATGTGTGTTTTCCCCGGTTAGTCCCGGTGTTGGAGGTCACAGACAAGGATCATGTCTGGCTTTATTGACTCCCCCACGTCAAGTACTTTGGGGACAGTTTTAGCATTTTTTGTATCTACTTTAGCAAGGAGAAACATCATTTTAGATTCTGTATGTGTACCCATTTCACACATATAGTATTTTCGATGTTTAGTATTAAGCCCTCCTTTTTATTTTATTGCATATCCGTTGGAGCTACTATATGCTGCTTCATTTTATTTGATACCGTAGTGGCTCTACCTGGACTGTTTGTTGGAGATTGTTACTTATCAACTTTAATAGTGGCATAGGATTAAATGTTTGATATTTTGTATATGTTTTCATGTTTTTGATATATTTTACATGTATCCCAATAGACCTTTCATTCCAATGTCTCACTGGTTTTATAGTGGATACTGTGCACATTAAAGGAACACTACAGGGTCAGGAAGACAAACATGTATTCCTGATCGTATAGTGTTAAAAACACCATCAAGCCCACTCCCTCCCTCCCTCCCTCCCTCACCTAAATAAAGTAGAATCTTACTTTTATTCCAGTCTGCAGCTGCTGAACCCTGATCTGCCTGCTTGGCTGACATCATCAGAAGTGTTGCTCAAAGCCCATCACAATGCTTTCCCATTGGAAAGCATTGGATTGGCTGAGACTGTCAAGGGGTCAGATCAAGGGCAGAGCCAGCACTAATCAATGCATCTCTATGAGGAAAGTTCAGTTTCCATGAAGAGGGTGGAGAAACTAAATGGCAGTGCTGCACACTGGGCAGCACTGCCCCAGGATGCACGCCTAGTAGCCATATGAGAAGTGTCCAGTGGAAGTTTCTCTAGGTTGTAATGTGAACACTGCCTTTTCTATGAAAAAAAACAGTGTTTACTGAAAAAAGCTTGAAGGGAATGATTACACTCACCAGAGCAAATACAATAAGCTGTAGTTGTTTTGCTGAATATAGTGTCCCTTTAATCTTTCCTTATACTTCTAAAAATGTTTTGTCAAACTTAAGTCAAAATTGTTTTATTAATAAAATTAATGAATGGAAAGTTGTATGAGTTTTAGGAAAAGAAACATGTGACATCAAAAGATATGAAACAATGCTAAAATTACAACAACAAAAAAAAATATTTTTCCAGTCTGAATGAAGCATTTCTCAAGGACCATGCCCTCTTAAGCAGATAACACCAAAATGTATAGACAAATATAGGACACCATGGCAAATATATCACTTAAATGGCAAATGTTTCATCACTCAAGAATCTTCCTTAGCACTTTACAGCTACTTGTGAAAGAATGACTTGCCTTATCATGTATATTACTAGAAGTGTAAAAATATATAGTGTTTAGGTGCATATTCAAAGGAGCCAACTAATGAAACACAAAGGAACGACAAATTGCAAAACAAATAATAAACAAAATAAGACTGCGTATTCATGGTGCATACAGAACGACATTGTACATAAAATAACTATTTGACATTCAACAGTAATGACACCTAAATGCAATCATCTTTGGAGGGTTTATTTAGTTGCCTTGCAGCGATACAGTAAGGAAAATCTGAGAAAGAAACAACTACAGACTTATAAGAACTAAACTACTGCTTGGAGCGATTTCAAGTTTTGTACAAAAAAAAAAAAAAATGAAATCTCCTATAAAAGGCCAACAGAATATATTACCCTGATATGCTAATCCCTTAACATGTATGTCAGGGTACAAGGAAATGCGTTCCATCCGGGAGTTCTGAATATTCTTAAACCATTGCGTGAAGCATGTCACCAAATATGATTTAACGAAATTTACCATAAAAGTCAAAGTTTCTCCTGAATATTTTTTAAATACTTCAAGAGATAAAAACTTTTAACCCCTCTCTTGCAGAAAAAATTAAACATCAAGGAGTTTTTTCATACAGCTGTGAGTTGAAGTGATTAAATGTGCCCCATTTAAGTTATTGCTCCAACTACCTTGCAAGCATTTTTGTATTTAATTATAGTAATTGGTTGCCAGCACACTAGAGATCACTGATTAGTGAAATGAAAAGCAGGGTTATCCATAAGATGACCCCAGGGGGGCTGCCTAGAGCCCAGGAGTTAAACAGGAGCCTCGGACCCATGAATTTAGTTGGCCAAATCTACCATCTCTATGTGAGGAATGAAGGTGGGCAAACTGGTAAGACAAACTTAAAGGGGAATTGTCACCTTGCAGGTTTTTTTTTATAAATAATGATTATATTATTGACATTCCCCTACATTTAGCAAATATGTGTTTGAGAGATCTGTAAAATAAAATAACATGTAGAAAGGTAGCTCTATACTAGAATAGAGTACTCTATGTGGGCTCAGTGTAAGCCATTCTTATAAACTCAGGGATTTTTACTAAAGTGAGATGGAGATAAAGTGAGATAAAGTGGGAATTCGAAATGGATTTTACATTTTAGACCAAAATAGCTGAACTGGAAGCATAGCTGAATTTACTGAATAACCCTGTGAATATAGTAAGTTGAAGAATCAGAAACAATGGAGATTTATTAACGTGTGGCTGACAGTGAGGCGCAAATGATTAAATAGGTTGTTTTTTCTTTCTTCTTCATTTCTCGCTTCATTTCTGCCCTATCCTTCATTTTTGAGCCATAGACATAAAAGTGTTTTGTTTCACTTTTTTTTTTTACCTGACATTCGAAATTTGGTGGAGTTCTAAAATGATCATTTCTGAGAAAACCATCCCTGTTTAGATCGCTTTAATAAAATAATTAGGGAATTTAACCATCCCCTTTCGGAACACTGATAAATTGTCCCCCATGTTACTGTCTCTCCTACTACGAAGCAATGTCTGCTGTAGATGTGCCTTGACTGATCTGGTTTGTATTTTTATCAATTACAAATTTCTAATATCGTTAAGAGAAAATCAAGCATCACATGAAAAAAGGTTAATGGTTATAGGTGATTTTTTAGCTTATATTCAGCAGTAGAATTTCCAGAGTATTCCCGGTTGTCTATTAACATGGGCTTATTGATGTAATGGATGCATACCTAGCCATGAAAAAACAACAAATACAACAATTTATACGTAAATTATTATTCTAGTATTATATAACATTTAGAACAGAATTCAATATTTTTTGCAATGATGGCATTACAATACATCTTTTGTCTCGCAAGCCTTCTGAAATGCTCAGTATCATTAGTATCATATACCGTAAGATATATATAATTTCCACAGTGTAGAGTAAAAGTAAGAGTGTGAAACGTGTACAATTACTCAAATATGCTGCACACACATTCTAAAAAATTCTGTTCCTGTATTTGGGAATGGAGATCTCAAAACGGTCTGTGACTGAACAATAATAGGATAAGACTAAGCTGCTAAATACAAGATATATGTTTCTGTTACTTTATCTGTTTTTGCTCAGTATACAGAAAGTAATACTTGCTGTGTTACCCGTTTAAAATACATTATGCTACAGATTT